ATTTTTTGGGACAGGCATTTTGGGTTTTCATGAGCTGTATGCCATAATCATCAGTATTAAAACAATTAAAGACCTGAAATATTTCAGTTGGTGTGCAATGAATCTGAAATATATGAAAGTTTCATTTTTATCATTACATTATGGAAAATAATGACCTTTATCACAATATGCTCATTTTTTGAGAAGGACCTGTACAATAAAACATCAGTGCATCCAGTAGTAATAGTAACTGTACACAAAACAGAAAACATGAAAAATCTAGCAAATTTAGGCAACATTAAAAGTTATTTTTTGATACTGTGACACATACTACAGAGTACTATAAACCCCTAAAGTACTAAGACAACAGTTACATGAACAGACTGACAGCTGAGTTCAAGTCCAGGTCGGATTCAGAAACTCACCTGAGACGTCAAACTTGGCACGTTGCAGCTCCAAGAAGAGAGCGCCTCTTGGTGGCAGAGTGGGGAACAGTTTTTCCAGCGCTGATGCGTACCGACAGTCCTTAGGTGTCACTTTACCTGCAGCAGGAGACATGTTGACACAGTCCAACACCACCGCCGCTACACACAGACACGCACACACACACACACACACACACACACACACAAAACAGTCATTAAGACGTTTCAATGCAATAAGCAAGTCTCATCACCGAACAGTAATGTGCCTCTAACAGACCAGGTGTTTGTAGGAGAGACATCAACACCTGGCCAGGTGAAGGAACAAGGTGCATGTAACAAAAAAGCAAAGATGGCCGCGCTCTCGGGAGCCGCAGCTTCACAGGCTCCTGATGCAATCCCAGGTTATTTGCATGTTGAAATTGACTCCGAGCCTGACTCTGCACACTTTATGCGTGTGAATTATAGCTGAACTGAACTGATGAGAATAAGAGCAGATTTACTACGGATTACAGCAGCGATCAGCAATGAGCTAAAATCTACACTCTGTAGAATGTAGATCCTAAAGTCATCTACCTGGAAACTTCAGCAGAGGCGCTCTAACAGGAAGAACAAGCGCTGCTCCTGGCTTAAAAAGTGAGGCTGTCAGGTGGGGGTGATGGTAAAGCTAAAAGCTAACGCTAAGGCCGGCAAACTACCGATACCTTCTTTCTTTCTGTCGAACGTCCGCTCGTTGGACAACAAGATGGATTTGCTTCGTCTGAGAGTGGGCGCCTCAGAGGAGATGAGGAAAAGTGCAGTGCTTTGTCTCGTGGAATCATGGCTTAACAATGACATGCCGGACAACAGAAATTTTTTGAGCGGACCACTGCAGCGAGCTAACAGGGAAGTCACGGGGATGCATACAAAGTCGAACCCCGCCCTCACCTAGGACTCTCGGATCATATCTCCATCTTCCTGGCTCCTGCTTACCTCCCTCTGCTGAGACACTCCAGACTGGTACAAAAGAAAGTTGAATCTTGGATGAAGAATGGTGACCCCATACTGAAAGACTGTTTTGCATGCACAGACTGGCAGGTCTTCAGAGAAGCTGCTGAAAATGAGGGGGTGCTAGATCTAGAGGAAAACACATCCTCAGTCCTGGGGTACATTAGCAAATGTGGGACCACATGAGACCAAAGCTGGGACCCTGTGTATATAATTTTGTTCCACCACATGTACCACATGTGGTGTGAATGACAAATAAAGAACCTTGAATCCTTCAAACAAGGTGCATGTAACCAGGTGTGTGTAACCAGATTCTTACCGTAGAGCAGCTGAGCGAGTTGCTTGTCGAGGATCTGTGGAGCTTCCTGGATGATGTGTTCGGTTACCAAGGTAGCACAAGATCCTACCATCTCCACAGTAAGAGGACAGGAGGGGGTGGGGCTTCTTTCCAGGTTGTGGTGGTCAATTACCTGTGCTACTGCCCCCTCCAGGTCACTATCTGAACTGCAGGGAAGAGACGAGCTATTTAGACTAACACACACATATCCCTGCAGGAGTAAATGAGCTAATTTTAAGGTTAAGGTACTTGTGCAGGTAACGTAATCAGGGCTGTGTGGTCACTGCTACAATTACCTGCTCTGCACCTGCCATTAGGGGTGGGTGATATGGCTCAAACATAATATTGTAATATTTCAGAGCATTCTGAGGATAAAGATAAGTTTTGTGATACAGTATAACAAAACAAAACAAACAACATAAAAAAAGAAATCATTCAACCTTTATTTAGGCCCTATTTACACGGACACGATGGGGGGAAACGTAGGTTTTTTCGTTTGTTAATTAGAGGAAAAGATCCGCGTTGACACGGTCGTATTTTGGGTTTACATGCATCCGCAAGATCCCCCCCCGCCCTCCCGAATCCGCTGTAGTTACCATGCCAGGTCATGAGATGGCGCTGTGAATTTTGTACCTTCACCTAATGCGCATGCTGCTGCCTCGGCACGCTGTTTCCTGTGAGCTACAAAGCTCAGCTAACAACATCTTAACAACAGGTTAAAGCTGGATTGTGGATAAAAGAGTCGACAGATTTGACGCCAAGCGGGACCGCTTCGTCTAACAGCTCCACACCGGTCGCTGAGTGGACCAGAACCGAGTCACAATGTTGGACTTTACTCCGTGATCATCAGTAGCTGGTTTACAGCAGGTAAATCAAATGTTCTTAATAATGTTAGTTTGTGTTTACTTCGGTTACAAAACAACGAGCTGACTTTTTATTTTTTCCTGAAAGAAGAAGAAGCTGTCCTCCACCAGGCGGACCGGTTCTGAACGAGGCACGGCAGCAGGACGTCGAAGAGAGAGATGATGGATTTTTGGTATTTGGTATGATGGATTGATATTTATTTAAAATTCCCCTCAGTTCTTTTATTCAATCCATTCAATGTTCAGTTTAATTATCAGTTTGTGGTGTTGAATAAATAAATAAAATAAAAATTAAACCTGATGTCTTCATTACATCTTTAAAACGTCTTCAGTTGATCCAAAATGCTGCTGCCAGAGTCTTAACTGGAGTTACTGGGAGAGATCATCTCTCTCCAGTTTTAGCTTCTCTCCATTGGCTCCCTGTCAAATCCAGAATAGAATTCAAAATCTTACTTCTAACCTACAAAGCTCTCAACAACCTAGCTCCATCTTATATTACAGATCTTATTGTTCCATATTTTCCTAACAGAGCACTTCGCTCTCAGACTGCAGGTTTACTTGTGGTTCCTAGAGTTTCCAGCAGCAGAATGGGAGGAAGATCTTCCAGTTCTCAGGCTCCTCTCTTGTGGAACCAACTTCCAGTTTCTGTCCATGAGGCTGACACATTGTCCAGTTTAAGACTTTCCTTTTTGATAAATCCTATAGTTAGGGTCGGCTTGGGTTTCCTGAGCTGTCCCTTAGTTCTGCTGCTATAGGCTTAGACTGCTGGAGGACAACCTGACCACAAGTTTCACTCTGCTGCTGTCTTTAGTTACTCTGCTCAACCTGTTTTGTATTTGTAATTATTTTTTCTATCCTTAACATGTTTTTGTCTTTCAGATACACCTGGACCTATATCTGGACCTGGACCTATATCTGGACCTGGACCTACATCTGGACCTGGACCTATATCTGGACCTATATCTGGACCTGGACCTATACCTGGACCTGGACCTATACCTGGACCTATATCTGGACCTGGACCTGGACCTATACCTGGACCTATACCTGGACTTGGACCTATACCTGGACCTGGACCTACACCTGGACCTATATCTGGACGTGGACCTATACCTGGACCTATATCTGGACCTGGACCTATATCTGGACCTATACCTGGACATATACCTGGACCTATACCTGGACCTATACCTGGTCGTATACCTGGACCTATACCTGGTCCTGGACCTATATCTGGACCTATACCTGGACCTATACCTGGACCTATACCTGGACCTATACCTGGTCCTGGACCTATACCTGGACCTACCATTCTGTGTTCGTCTGTCTCTCCTTCCTGTCCTCTCAACCAGCCGGTCAAAGCAGATAGTCTCTTGTCCTGAGTCTGGTTCTGCTGGAGGTTTCTTCCTGTTAAAGGGAGTTTTTCTTTCCACTGTCTCCACTGTGCTTGCTCAGGATGGGAGACTGCAACGAAGCCAAGATTCAACTTGTCTGCTGGATTCCTTAGATAGAGAACTTTACTAACTGGCTTTTATGTGAATGTTTCTGTAAAGTCCCTGAGACAACTTGGTTGTGATTTGGTGCTTTAGAAATAAACTGAATTGAATTTAATTCATTTTCAACGTTAATAGCATGTAACATGTTTAGCATTATTTTAATCACATAATTTGAATGACATAATGTCCAGAGAGCTTCATTATATATCTCAAACTTAAGATAAATACTGTTTATTATTGTTAAACTTGTTATTTAGCACATTTAGATGTTCTAGTGCAGCGTGACGTGTGCACGTGGCGACGCGTGCACGTGCCTCGTTCTATAAACGGCAACATTAGACCTGGATCAGACTGTGTCTCTTCCAACACAGATGTTGGTCACAGCAGCTGGACTCTGACGTAGATTAACTACGAGATTAAAATATATTCCATCAGTCGAGGTTGAAAACAGTGTGTCGCCGCCATGTTGATAGAAATATAGCGTCTGTCCGCGCATGCGTGTGCACATGTGGTTTAACACAAGGTCTCAGCGGGAGATGTTTCCATGATCAGCGGGGGGTCTGAGAAAAACCTCCACTCTGGAAGGTGGGTTCAGAAACATCTGGATTCAAAGAGGGGGGGGGGGGGGGCACTGGTGTCGTGTAGATGATCAGCAGAACCTCAGAGAGGAAGCTGAGGATGCTCTGAAAATACACGCCGTGTAAACGGCCCCTCAGGTTGATCCCACTGAGCCTCGAGGACTCATTTACAAGAGAGACCTGGTTTAACAAAGAATCATGACAACAATGGACAACAACAACAACAACAACAATAAACAGTTATAAAAAGTCATACTGCAGGTTTTTTGTTTTTTTTAACAAATAAGATGGCTAAAAGAAAAAGGTAACAAAAAAACTGCTGGATTCTACGGTGAATGTAAAAAACTAATGAAAAACTAATCATAGTTACTCTTTGACAAAATTTACGTTAAAAACTAATAAAACAATAAGGGTTAATTTTACTGCAATGACTTTAGTAAAGTATTCAGTCTCAAAGTATAAAAATAAAAAAATATAAATGATCCTTCTGTTTAGATTGAAAAAGTCTGCACAAAATAAAGAATGACAGAATCCACCACTAAAACCAAAGTGCAGGTGCAGTTCCAAAAAAAAGAAAAAACAAATAAAATGAAAGCTTAAGATCTGTTGAGCATTAATGAAAAATACAAGAGAAAATGTGTTGTCGTTATGAGCTATAACTTCCAGAACTTGTGACAAACGCTGAAAACAAATGAAATGCTGCCTGAAAAGATTGCACAACACAGCCCTGAGACAACGTTCTGATCCTCAGGACAGAAGCTGGTCTGCAGGTTGGAGCTACACAGTTCACTGTCGCTGTTAATATAGTGCACAGTTCACATACGGACGCACCGATCCACTTTCTTTAGATCCGATCCCGATACCTTGATCTGAGTATCGGCCGATACCGATCCAGTTCTGATATCATGATCATTGATTTTATACGAGGCTGTAATAATCTGCTCTCAAGTACAACGTGTACAAATATATACATGCATGTCCAAAAAGGCAACTTGAGCTAAGTTTTATTAATGTTGGATAAGTTTTAAAGTTAGAATTAAATCCTGCTAACACAAAACATGTTTCTTTGTATTCCTAGTTTTAAAGTGGATATTAAAGTGATTAATTTAAGTGATTGTTTAAAGTTATTATTTATTTTTAATAAGGGGCAGATATAAGAATTGTTTCTTCTTTCTGAACTCTTTTCATTCAATGTTTTCTTTTTGATGATTTTTTTTTATTTTGTTTCATTTAAATGAATGAATTAAATAAAATGTTAAATGTCTTCAAACACCTGCTAAGTTCATGACATAAACCAACAGACATGTTCCTGTTTTTAGTATTTTACATCACTTTATAATGTAGCTGTTTATGTTTTTAATATATTTAATTTTCAAATCACATGTTTTTTATGATTGTCTCCTGTTGTTCTGATAAATATCTCCTGGAGGGTAAACTAGATCTTGGCTGCAAGTATCAAGCTGTGAAATCCTTCATTTTCTACAACTGATAGTGGTTGATCATTAATGATGAAGTTTAGCAACTTCTCTTTAAACATTAGAGCTCCGTGGTTTCAGCGACGTCTTCTTCTTGTTCAGTCCGAAGCAGGCAGTCTGATCTGGGTCAGCCCCGCTCAGTCTGTCCCTCCTCAGAGACGGGCAGACTGAGCGGGGCAGAGTGGACGCTGCTGGCCGGGGTCGAGTCGCCTCTTTTGGGTTGACCAAAGAGCAGTGCCCCCTGAAGCCCCGGAGCTCGAAGGTCCAACATAAAACTAACTTTACCGTGGTTTAATGTGGCGCTGTGGCTCTGCAGACAGTGCACGTTGCTGTCTTGTTTTGTGGTGTTCAGTGTAAAATACTTCCACACAGCGACATGTTTAGATGAAAAGTTTGTTAGCTGTTAGCCACAGTGCTGCTAACTCAGCCCTCACGTTGCAGCTGCTGCAAACTATGGACTGGATTTCCTGAATGTGAGGCGGGTCTTATTACTCTGGGTCCATGAGACACGCTGCCGTTCAGGAAATCCAGTCCATAGTTTGAAGCCAACGTGCATCGTAACCACAGACGTGCATGGATCGGAAATATCGACAGGTGGATCGGAAAATCCAACATGTACAATTTGCTGGTATCGGAGGCTGATACTGGATCGGATCGGCCCCATCCCTAATTTCACAGTCGCTGTTCATATAGTTTTTTTGTACTGTAATGTGTAATATAATTTTCTTCTTGTTAGAATTAATAGTAATTACAAAATTGGTACTGAAAAAAGAACCGTCCACGAACCGACACCGAAGTGAAGGTACTGACGCCGAATTTTTTAGAAAGGTACCCAGCCCTAGCCATGAGTGCACTGAGCAGCTGAAAACAGCATGAAAAGCTGAACGTACTGTTATGCATGG